TTCCTGTCATTTTAATTCTAATTTCTACTTTTATTTCCAAAATCTGCATTCCTGTCATTTTAATTCCAATTTCTAATTTTATTTCTAAACTCTACATTCCTGTCATTTTAATCCTAATTTCTATTTTTATTTCTAAAATCTACATTCCTGTCATTTTAATTCTAATTTCTACTTTTATTTCTAAAATCTACATTCCTGTCATTTTAATTCTAATTTCTACTTTTATTTCCAAAATCTGCATTCCTGTCATTTTAATTCCAATTTCTAATTTTATTTCTAAACTCTACATTCCTGTCATTTTAATCCTAATTTCTATTTTTATTTCTAAAATCTACATTCCTGTCATTTTAATTCTAATTTCTATTTTTCTTTCCAATTTCCAAATTTCTGTCATTTTAATTCTAAGTTTTAATTTTGTTTCTAATTTTATTATATTTCCTTTTCATAATTGTAATTCTGACTTGCTGCAAATTCTTCTTTCATAGCCTGCATCTCACATGGTGTGGCAGTGTCACATTCAACTTACACATTTGAACTCTATCTGAATGTTTATTTTATTTTTTTCATTATAACCCTCTGGTGCTGCTCACATGGTGGTGAAAATGACCTTTTTGTTTCAGTGAAATAAATTCACTGTATTTTAATTCAATGGTTTTTATTTAATATTTTGTATTTTTAGGGTATTTCATGGTACTAAATTATATTTATAATCCATTTATTACTTGTTAACCACTTTTTTTAGCATAGACCTGAAAATGAAATTTCCAACTTAAACTGTCATAAATCCTGAATGCTTTGGAGCGCTAAAGTTTGGTCTATTTTGAAAGAAGACACTTGGCAGATTATTGCTAGAGTGAAACAAAGTTAGAAAAAAGTGCAACAAAAAAAAGTTATAGAAGTTTATTATAATGAAAAATGCACAAAGTTTTATAATTTTATATGAAATATATATTTTACAAAACATGTTTTACTCTAAAACTGTGTGAAATCAAAGCATCATAAATGTAAACAAGTTGTCTTCCAAATTTGAAGTTGATATCACAAAACATGAGCTTTAAGTAAAATTTATTTTGGGCGCAGTAACAAACGTTTCCACTAGAGGAAATTCATTTCTGGTCATTTTGTACAAGTGTGACTATTTGTTTCAGCACATCTTCATTTCATGTCCATGATTTTTTTAATTTTATTTTACAAAAGCTGTCGTTTTAGCCAGACTGCCTTCAATATAAGCTGTTTTTAGAGTAACAGCAAAGTGTTGAGTTCTGAAACTTACACGATGTTTTTATAGTACAATTCAATTCAAGTTTATTTGTATAGCGCTTTTCACGATACAAATCATTGCAAAGCAGCTTTACAGAAAATTTAAGTTTCTATTTTGAAGTTTCTACATTATATTTAGTAGTAGTAGTACAATGACCTCTTATATGTCAAAAGATCAAGGGAATTTTGGTTTCTCAGTTCACGACCCCTTTAAAGAAAACACTTGGCAGATTATTGCTGGAGTAAAAAAAAAAAAGTGAAACTATAAATAGTTATAAAATTTGTTTATTATTATGAAAAATGCACAAAAATACAATTTTCGAATTTTATATGAAATATATATTTTACAAAACCTGTTTTACTCTAAAACTGTGAGAAAATCAATCTGAACAAGTTTTGAAGTTGATATCGCAAAACATGAGCTTTAAGTAAAATTTAGTTTGGGCGCAGTACCAAACGTTTCCACCAGATGAAATTCATTTCCCATTCATTTCCATTTTTTTGTACAAGTGACACATTTTTTCAGTAGCTTTTCATTTCATTTCCATGATTTTTTCCCCCCACATATCAAGTAACAAAACATTTACCAAGTTCCATACCATTCCAATGAAATCAAAAATTCTAAAAAAAAAAAAAAAAAAAAAACAGAAGAGCACCAGAGGGTTCATTTTTAGGGCTGCGACGATAAATAGATTCTGAGATCTTCCGAATGCATCGTGACTCTCTCTGGAATCGATTCTGAGCTTAGTTTTTAACAGCAGATGGCGCTCTACTCTAGTTTTTATCCACACACTCAAACGAAGACGAGCGCTTGTGCATTCGGGTAAATCCTGTAATTTAACCTCGGCTCAGAATGCTTTTATGACGCGACATGAATGTAAACAGCCCACGGTGAACACCCTTGTAATTCGCTTCAACCTTTTTCAAATTTTATGGATGATTATTTTAGGTTCAAGTGTGTGCAAGGATTGGGAAGCCAGC